GACTGGTTGGGCAAAAAAGAGAATTAAAAGTCTTTAGATCCCTTTTAAAGGATGAGGAATGCTGTGAAAAATGGACAGCAGCTGTAAGACGTTGCAAATTTGCCATAATGTTGCTAGAATCTTTACTGAGATTTATAAACTGAAGGAAAAGGCTTGGAATGTAGTCTGGATGAGTTGAGACACTGTCAAGTTCTCCTGCAGATTGATTAAATAAGTGAGTACTTGGACTACATGCAAAATTGTTTTACCAGTATACTGGTTAAGCAGGCTCCAGTAATGCACATTACAAATGCTCATCATTTATCATGGAGCTCTTCTTTGCTGCAGTGCTCTCGTCTCACAGCTGCTGCCCATCTTTTACAGCATTCCTTATCATTTAGAGGAAATTTAAAGACCTTTAATCTCTTGTTTTTGCCCAACCAGTCATTGCATTTAACTAAACAGCAGCTTTTAGGCATCTCCACCATAGGCACAGCTATAATCTTTCCCCCAGTGGGTGTAATCTGACCGCACCCTATCGTGAATACAATTTACATCTCATTAACATTCCACCAGTCGCGTATCGTGAAAAGGTCTATATCCCTGACGTCCACGGTCGGCAGTTCCTATGGCGAATTCCCACTGCTCAGCTGCCTTCAGAGCATGAGTTACTTGGAATTTCCAAACAGGCCAGTCCTTTTCATCGTTTAGCTGTGGTATTTGAGCAAAGAACTTATCCGTTGTAGTAGCCATCGTGTCCTCTCTTTTACGCAGTAGGGAACGATGCTAGGCTCATAACCTGTAATAGTTTTAATTGAAAACACTGATATCAAAGTCCAAAAGATAGAGAGGAATAATGAATGTGTGTGTGCGTAAAAGAATCAGAAAGAATCAAAAAGAAGAACCAGAATTGCATGAAACAAAATCAGCTATATATACACATGCATATGATTAAATAATTGTGGTTACAACTAATGAATCACATTATATTACAATAGGTATGACTACCACTGGACAGTTAGGAGATGTAATGAAGGAGTCCACTGTTATTGCTTATACTGTTGCTAAGGTAGAGAGAGAGAGAGAGATGGAAATACATGTATAAGGTGCTCTGGTGCTGTTATGTAAATTGTATTTTTGTTTTATTTTAGTCATTTTGTCTCAAAAAGATCCTATAATGATTTTCTTTAGAAAGCAAAAATTCATCTCCACGTAGGCACGTACATGTACCTGAGGTAAGTATAATACTTTCATTATAATAATAATAATATTTTTATTTTTGCAATTATTATTATTGCCATTATTATTATCAACAATTAATAATGACAGCGGCAATTGATATTATTATTTTATTATCGATTTTTAAATTATTATTGTTATTATTATTATTTATTAATTAAAGGGTGCTACCCCAAAGGATGATCCCTCTGCAGGTGTCACTATAGTCTCTGCCCTCCTCTCACTGGCTATGGATCGTCCAATACGTCAGAATGTTGCCATGACTGGGGAACTGTCACTCACTGGAAAGGTATGTACATGTACTTCTACTTTATTCACAACATGTATATGTATGATAGTACAGTCAATTGACATTTGTATAAACTGTGTAATGTATGCAATATATGTTGCATAGTCTTTTCTTTTGTTGGAATTAATGATTTTTTAGGAAAACCATGGGCTATGGCTAGTACAAGGAAATTTTCTGAAACTTGCTCATTTTTTAAATGGCCATGACTCAGAAATTTAACCCTTAAATTGGCTCAAAATTTCTACACAGCATAAGGACATCAATATGTATCAAAGTATAATAATAAAAATTTGTAGTGATTTCAGAGCCATTGGAAAACCATGAGCTATAGTACATTTTTATTACATGATCCTCTTGTCCCACAGAGAGTCATTGGCTCAGGTCATTGAGGCTGGTAAAAGAGTTATAGATGATCCTACACATCTTGCTGATTTTGGAGCTGCACTGACCAGTGGAGAATCACATCAAATTCAAGCAGTTCTTGAATGTCCAGACATAATCACTTCAAGTCCATTGTGGCAGGAGAACTGGAATAGAATTGTTGACTTATTTAATTTTAATATTATAAAACATATTAAAATTATTAAAACGTCAAATAGAAAACTCAATACTATTGTTTCATAATAAAAGTACATTAAAATACAACAACAATAATAATAATAATAACAAATTAAGTATAAGTACAAAATAAAGGTACATGTGTACATGCTATAATAAAACAATTTATTAATTAAGGAAGAAAGGGAAGACTAACAAAAGAAAGCAAAGAGTAGCTCCAGTGATACATGTTAATGGAGAATATATTAAAGAAGAAGGACTGGTGATATCAAGAGTGGATAAATAATTATCCACTCCTGGTGATATTATTAACCATTCGGGTGTACATGTGGGTATATGGTATAATGGTGATGATGGTGCTGAAGTGGTGTAAGGTAGTTAGATGGTGGCAAGGTGGTAGGATAAGTATGATGGTGTGATGGTGATAGGTTACATGTGGTGCTGTAGTAAGATGGTGTATTCATAATATAGTGATAGGTTTCATACAATGGACTGATAAGGTGGTAATATGGTGATAAGGTTGTGTTTAAGACACAATATTTTGTCCAGGTGGGTCAACCTGTTGTCCTTCAAGTTTCTCATGATATCCACTCACTTTGCTTTGTTCTAAAAGAAATAAATCATAATGTATCTCTTGAAGATATTTAACTACTGATGAATCAGGACTAACTGATTGAGCTATTTCAATATCATGTGGACGAGGTTTTAAACTGAATACGTCAATTAAAAACAAAACAAGCTCTAAATTAGAACTCTTACTAGCAAAATAAAGCATGGTTTTACGTTCATCAGTTTCAGCTAGTGCATTACATTTGAGATCAGTTAGAAAGTATTGTACTAACTCCATACTACCAGCTTCACATGCTCTATGAACTGAAGTGTATCCATTATTATCAGGATCATCAGGAGTACAGGGGAAGGTCTCTATGAGATAACGTACCATACGAATATTATCAGAACGAGAAGCATAATGAAGAGGAGTACGACCAGACTTGTCTTTAGGTACTGGATTGGAGACAATGTTTGGTTCCAAATACTGGTATATATAAACTCTCTTTCTCTCTGCTAGTAAGTGTAAGCAGGTGATGCCATCTTTATCTTCTGCTAAAGCATCCAGTCCATGTGTCTCAATTAGTGTTCTTACTATTCCAATATCTCCTCCCTCACATGCTGCATGAAGTAAACCACGTCCTCTATTATCCAATACATTAACACTTTGAGGATAAATACTGGATAAATAACGAAACACATTAATATGGCCATTAATGCATGCTGTATGTAATACAGTGGACCCTTCATTATCAGTAGCTGTTAGAAGATCATGATGAGTAGAACTACCAGTGACTGAGAACAGTAAAGCTTCAGCGGTATCCTTATGACCAGAGGCAACTGCTAAGTGTAATGGTGTCTGTCCTTTCTTGTTAGTAATTAATAAGTTATTGTTAGACAGACTGGCTTTAAGTAATAGTGATACCATATTCTGTCGTCCAGATTGACAGGCTACATGTAATGGTGTATTACCATCTTTATCTTGTACATTAATAAGTACAGCATTATGTGGATTATTGTATATGTCATGAGGACTGTCAAATAAACACTTAATCTCACATAACCAGACAACACTCATTGAGGGTATACTTTTACTAAGTAAATATTCTAATATTTTATATTTATTAACTGCTACAGCAGCATGTAGTAGTGTCCAGCCTTCATCATCAGTTGCATTAGGATTACAATAATTATTATCAATTAGATACTTCAATACATTCAAGTGACCTCTCACTACTGATATGTAAACTGCTCCTGACAAACTTAATTGGTGATTCTCTATTAGATGCTTAATAAAGTGAATGTGACCATTTGAAAATGAATAATGAGAAATATTCCAACCTATGTTATTTGTTAGGCTCAGACTACATTTGTAAGCCTTTACATATAATTCCAGTAGTAAAATATTACCAGTTTGAGCAGCATAATGAATTGGTAGGTTACCATTACTATCAGCTTGATGAGGATCTAACTGATAGGTAGTTATTAATTCTTTAACAAGAGATAAGTTAAGAGACCATGAGGCATAATGTAAAGCAGTGAGGCCATTCTTATCAACTGCAGTAGGAGACAAGCCTTGTTCAGTAATAAGATACTGAACTAAATCAAAATTACCACTCCATGCAGCATGATGTACTAATGTGCGTCCTTCATTATCTGTTTTAGTAATATCACAATGCTGTACCTCAACGAGATATTGAGTGATATCAATATGACCATTACGACAAGAACAATGGAGACATGTCATACCATCAAAATCATCAGTGATATTAGGATCACTGTTATGATTATTAATAAGATACTTAACAGAATTAATACTACCTGACCGGCAGCAGCCAGTTAATGGTATACGACCATCAGTATCAGCATCATTAGCATTGAGATTATACTGAAATAAAATATAACTTAATACACTAGTAGAACCTGACGATGTAGCACAATGTACTGGAGACTTACCATCAATAGTTAGTGTACAATTGATATCATATTTTTCTAATGCTTTCACTAGTAATGTGCTGCCACTGAGTGATGCTAAATGAAGTAACGACATACCATCATAATTTGAAGTGGCATTGATGTCAAAGTTAGGGCAAGTGTTTGCTTTTTTGAGAAGTGAAGAAAACATGTTAACTCTTTCATTTCGTTTCATAAAATTAATATTTTGTTTTATTCTAGCACTATTAATAATACGAATAACTGGTGTATCACTTTGTGCATGAAGCTTACTATACACAATACCACCTGGAATTTGTATAGCTGCATGACATGCATGATGTAAACATGAGTAGCCATTATTATCAGTAACTAATAATGCTTCATTACCTTGAATACTAACAATATACTCAACAACTGATGATGAAGCATACCATGAAGCAATATGAAGTGGAGTCCTACCATATTGATCCTTTACATCAATGGGTAATTGATATCGATTTAAAAGATACTTAAAAAGCTCAACACTTTTATTATTGATAGAGTTAGACTGGCAAATATAATGTAGTATACCAGCCCCTGAAATAGAAATGTCATTTGGTGAGAAGAGGTTTAATGATTCAAGCTTATGAACTAATGCTAACTCTCCACTTTTACAAGCTAACAATGATAAAGAGGCTCTCATAAAATTAATTTGAGAAGTATTACAATTTCTCTCAATAAAGAAATCCACTAGGTCAGAATGGCCCCCCATTGCCGAGTACAGTAATGCGGTGTTATTGCTATTGTCTGGTTGATCAGGAGGAATGTGACATGTGTCTACTAGATATTGTACTATAGATAAGTGGCCTTTATAAGATGCCATATGTATACTAGATACACTATTATCATCACCTTCATTAGGATCAATACCATATTGATGGATGAGTAGTTGAAGGATCTCAATGTGTCCACCATATGATGCAGAGAGTAATGGAGTCCAACCATGAAGACCACGATGATATGTGCTGTAACCAAACTTGTTAAGAAGCCATTGTACTTCATCTTTTAATCCTCTCCAAGCTGCTTCATGTAATGGTGTACTGGTATTCTCATACCATAATGGATCACATATATCTATAAATGAAGGATATTATTAATATTACAAGTTATGTATGGAGGGATTGACTAAACGTCAGTTTATGCACTTACCAATATCAGTGGATAAGTACTGAACCTTTTCTGTTAAGAACTGTAAAATTAAAAATAATATCAAAATTTTAATTGTAACCACAAACCTCTCTTAGATCATACTTATCTTCACCACATGTTAGTTCAGTGATACCAATACTAGCTAACTGTTGCTGTAGCTTTGTAGTAAGAGGAAATAATAAAGAATAAAGATACTCAGGAATGAGATGCTCGAATTGAAGAGAGCCAGGAGTAACAACAGAGAAATAAAGCCTCATTTCAGGAACATCCAATCCTTTCGGTATTGCTCTACGATAGAAGAATATGTCATTCAGTGTGTAGTCATCTCTGTCAACTTTAGCAATCATTACTCGTGTACCAGGAGGAACACCTTTTACACCAAACTGTACAGCATCAGCATCTTTCAATAGTCCACCACTGTTAATAAAATAATCCTTTAACTTATCTTCATATGCTGACCAAGTTCTCTTTAATGTACGATTGTCCTTCAGGAACACATGAACAAGTTTAACTATCAGTTCATAGTTAAACCATGATATGTATTTGTCTTGTAAGGTCGAAAAAAGTTCTATTATTGTTTTAATGTCCTTAAACTCTTCTTTAACTGCTTGCACTGCAGCTGGATTATTTTTCTTAATAGGACCCAAAAGAGCATGAACACGTCTTTCAAGATAGTCTATCACTTTAGGAAGAAGGTCTGGCTTATTCTCAAACGATTCCATTGTCAGTTGTAGTGTATCGGCAAACTCATCTTGTAGCTCATGTATTTCATTTGTTAACGGGAAATTTATTTCAGGATGAGCATAAACTGTATAAAAGAAAAAGAATGTAAAAAGTGAGCTTATTTAATGCATATACCCCCCAGTTTATTGTCACAATCAAAATTTTTGTGACGGAGCAAAAATGTGATTTGCAGAAAGTACGTGTAACTGGTATCCACCAGATCTCTGTTAACTAGATTAATGATATTCATTGGGATACTGCAAAAACAAAAGAATTTCTTGGCTGCCATTTTTGGGGCATAAACTATATCGTAACAAATGGGCCGATAAGCTAAAATCTACCTTATATGCATTACTTAATTGTTGCAGTGGTACAGAAATGGAGATTAAGGTTGGAAAATTTTCTCCGGATGCAGCTCCTTTGCTCAGCTGGAAAAACAGTAAAATAAAACCTTTCCCCATTGAAGACTGTACAAAGTATATCTCCATCATGGCAGCCAAAATAATTTTTTCCTTCCCGGAACCAAATGAATATTATTAAAAAGTCAATGAATATAATGTATCTCATTTGGTGGATACAGTATTAATGGTGTCATGACATTTATATACATGTTTTACATGTATAGTATAGTACAATTTTTATATTATATCAAAAAGGCATTGTAGATTTTTTGAACAAAAACTAACCTCTTGAATTATTTGATTTTCCACTTCCAGGTGACATTACAGTATCATTAGGAGAGACATCTCTTATAGCAACTGCTGGCCAATTTTCATTGTCACTTGAGTTACCTCCTAATAAATAAACATATTAATGTTATTCATTATGATTCCAAATAATTATAGTAAGTTACCTCCTAAAGGTGACATTCCTTCATTATGAATAACATCAGTAGGACCACCCACAGAATAAGGAGTAGCTCCCCCAGTAGTAGCTGGTAAAGGATGAGGAGTAGCTCCTCCGGTAGTAGCTGTTAGGGGATGGTTACGAGCTATTTCATCAGCTAATGCTGGATCACCTCCTCCGTCTTTAACAGCTACACACACTCTCCTCCAACAAGGAATACCATGAGATTCATAATCATAATCCTTCTTTAACCAATACTCTATGACTTTCTGCAGACAAGAAATTGTGTATCCACGACAATCAGCTTCTATCCTATTAATTGTATCTATTTCAAGATGCCAGGAAATGGCAATCTGCTTCCAGCCAGCTGAAAGTGGTTTGATTCTATCATAAACAGCATAGAAGTCTTTTTTATCTACAAAATAATCATTAAATGTCAATTATACACACAAACTCACTTAGTTCTTTATCACAAACGTTTATAAAAGGAGCAGAGAAAGAAGGGCTTGTAGCCATAGCGGGTCAAAAGCCAAATTAGCCAATTTAGCCAAACGCGAATCGCGAAAGGAAGGAATTCTGAATTCACACACCCACCATAAACTACCGGTGATGCGGTTTTTGTCACCCCATATTCATATCTTTCCTGTGAATGACGTTTCTAATTTATAATGATATGCATTGGGATACCGTAAATAGAAAATTTTTCAGGCCGCCATTATGGAGGTATACTATCACTTGCTACAATGGACCGACAGGCTGAAAACTGTCAATTCTACTTCTCCTCGTGACACCAGTGACTCCAAACAGTTGCAGACCTATGAAAAGAATGCTACAGGTTGCAATTTTTCACTTTTTGAGGTTATAACTGCTTGCTGTTAGTTACAAAATGGCAGAAAGTGTATCGAGCTTCATTGAAAACAGTGCAGCAATACCTCTACAATGGCGGCCTGAAAAAATTTCCATTTACGGTATCCCAATGAATATCATTATAAATCAGAAACGTCATTCACAGGAAAGATATGAATATAGTATCTATGGTCACCCTGGTTACCTGGTTAGCAACATCCGACCATAAATACATAGATATCTCTGCCTGACAATTTGTTGTAGAACTACAACAAGGTAATAACAATTAATAAAAAAGCAATTACCACGCCTCTTTTTAGGGCAAACACGTGCGTTTTATAGGAAACCACACCTTCTTGGCAGAAATTGGTATTGAATAATATTAGTGGTAAAATAGAAACCATAGGAAAGAATAGAAAAGTGAAAGAATGCTTTGTCGGCACTTTGATATAATTGCTATTCAACACTTATTTTTTATTATTTTTTTTTTGCAAAAAGTTGACTATTTGTTGATGATATTGTAAAGGCAATGAAACTGGTTGTAAGTAAATGCAGCAGCTAAAATCTATGTAGGTGCAAGCAGTTTAGGTGCTTTGGAGCACTTTTAAGTGAATGGAATAGAACTTGCAGGTCTACTGAGAGCTCTTGAAAGGCACAAAGATACTCTATGAAAAACGATCAAAATGGCTGATTGGGCGTGGTCAAGAGGTGTGGCGTCGAATAATTGATGATTTCCATGACAACATAAATAATTCAAAAAGTTGTCCAAAGGATTAATCTTTGCGAATTACTTGTGTAAGGAAAAGGGTTAATTTTAATTTAGGGGTAATTAATTAATTAATTTTAAAATGGGATTAAATTTGTGTTTTGTTTCTTACATCACGACGTTAACGGTCAGCATTTTAGTGTTGCTCTTTTCATACTTTTTATAATTATTGCCTAGAGAGTACTTCCATTTTGCATACTTGGTTTAAATGTTTTATGAAGAAATAAGATAGCACATTTTTATGGAGGGGTATCATGAGTGAGCCTTACATCAGTTATAGTCGGTTCAAGTTGAGTTGTCACAGGAAGTAAATCAATTTTTGCATCATCAAAACGTCACTACTAGCCACACACAAAAATGGTGGTACAGTGCAAGCAAGCTCTTTTATTGAGTGTTTCTTCATCTTTAAGACTCTTTGTCATCTGTTTTATCCTTGCTTTGGATACTACTACCTTTAATTATCACTGGCTGGACCTTTTTCTGTTATAAAGTTGACAAAGACCTCGGATACGGAAGATATCAACCTAGATTGAGGATGATGAAGAATAACTAGAACCAAGAAGGCTGTAGACAGATGTAGCAGTATGTTTCCAGTAGCAAGGTCTGCTAGTTGAATACCAGCTTCTCTAGAGGACCTTATCTGTTTGCTTTTATGTATAGGTTATACACCGAGGTAGAGGTTTCTATGGTATTTATTAACCGAGCGACGCAGTCGCGAGGTTAATAAATGCCATAGAAACCGATACCGAGGTGTATAACCAACTTCTATCATGACATTTGAAAACAACTACCAGCTGCTGATAATAAGACCACAGTTGACATAAATACAACATATCTAACAGGCTAGGCAGAAAAGAATCAACCAAGCTTGACAAATGGACTAATAAGAGCATAAGCGTAGAGCGCCAGGTTTCGCTTATTTTATTTAATAAACCAAGAGGTTAATAAGTGTTCCCGGGAGGTTAATAAGTGTTCCCGGGAGGTATCTAATAGATTTAGAAACCTGGCATTCTGCAATCTGATTGGTCAATTACAAGTAGGCATGATAGAATTTATAAATAAAAAAACATTAATAGTAATGAAATGCAAATGATATTCACGAGTGTGATGTAGCCTACACGTAATGATTCATCATGGCGGCTCCCTTTGAACTAGAGCGGAAGAACCCATTCAGAACCTTCCAGAGTACCTAGAGACTCAAAAATTGGTACAGATTTTCGGAAGAACCCGTTTTGCAAGTATACTAAATTTCAGGTTGCTAGCATTAGTGATTAAAAGGTTATAAGGGGTGGTACTTGGGCAACTCAACTTGAACCGACTATAGCTGGAGCAAACAGAGCCTTTGTTCACTTTAGGTGGTGAATCATCACATTCATCAGTGGCTTTCAAATGTGATTTTTATATCTAAAAGCTTGGAAAGTGTTGGCCACTTTGCCCTTTTAACCCTTTAACACCGATAAACATACTTGTACGTCAATAACATGAGTGGGTGTAGTATAATTGTTATTTTCTTTTTTATTCATGGAAATATAACATTCTAGATAGCTTAAATAACTTCTCCTGTCATCTCTCTAACATATATAACATTGTCAAAGACTAAAAACACTGTAGAGAGGTAGAAAAGCACAGTAGCGTGATCCAAACTGTTGAAAACGATCTGCAGCCGAGGTAAGTTACCTAGAAAATGACAGAACAACAAAAGATAGAATGTTTAGACTTACCTTGGGCTTGTGAAATCCTCTAGAAATGAGCAGAGAAGGCAAGCGACTCGAGAGAGCTGCTTTGCCTAACATTTCAATGGAGAAAAGTAGTGGGTGTGGCCACGGCTTAGCAACCATGGCTCCTCGACGAGTCATAGTAGCGTTTCTACTTGAAGAATCTTCTCCACTGACTTCTGCCTCTTCATTCTTCCATTTCCTGCCTACTAGGTTCTGCTTAACATGATAGAACTCTCTCTTTTGCTTCGCCAAGTCCGTGTAGCTAAAAAAAGCAGTGAGTATCTTTACAATAGATGCTCCATTGCTTTATGCATCTCCATTTTACTATATACTTCTTCTATCTAAGGATGAACATCCCATAAAGGCTGCTACCAAGTTTCAAGTCTGGCAGGACAAGATCTTGAGCGATATGCATTGTTAAACTAGTGCCACCAAAAATTAATTTTTATTCCAAAATTAATTTTGGTGTTAAAGGGTTAATACCTTTTTCTTTTTAATGCTTTCTAATGCGCTACATCTACCATTTGACCAGCGTGATCACAATTACTATTACAATATGTTGTTGTGTTTTATAGATGTACAGCTATGGTTAGATAATTTGATGTACAGTATGTAGTGTTAGTGTATTCCTGTTTATTGAAAGTGTAGAAATGAAAGAGACGCATGCTTTTTTATGCCATTTTGCATTGACCACGTGTTCGATTAATCATTATGCATGCGTTTCCTTACAGTGTATGTGTGTCCCCTATTTAATTGTGTACAGTCATTTTGCGGAGAGCATGGTAGATATTCTTAGAAACTAGAAGAATAGTTTTTTAAGAACTCTATCCTACTCTGTTTCATCAATTTATAGGTGATTTCTTGAAGGATATACTGTTTTTAAGTTTTTTGCTCAATTTCATTAAAAATATGAAGCAACATGAGCTATAGCTGACCTTCCAAGACAAAGAAATTAAGGCAGCTAAACTGGATTTAGAGGAGCTACAGTTTATAAACAAGTGTATAGAGGAGAATGATGAGATAGCAGCAGATTATTAGGAATAAACTGTGCAGTGGCGGATCTAGGGGGGGTTCCATGGGTTCCATGGAACCCCCTCTTTGGCTGAAGAAGTTGTCTTTTTGTAGTATCTTTGGATTCTTTGCAGTCAGTTTGCAGCACTTTTCCTCCATTTTATTAATTAAAATTAATGAGCCACACCCAAATTTTTAATTAAAATTAATGAGCCACACCTAGTTAAGTGAAATGGAACCCCCCTTTTAATTTTTCTGGATCCGCCAGTGCTGTGGGAGATGTGGCCAACTTTATCTGTTTGTTCAAAAACAGTGAGAAGCTTGGATGGAAGCTGAAATGAACAGTAACTACACATGTAGGCCTAACTCATAATAGAGGCTATTTTCAACTTAAGGATACTAATGAGCAATTACATTTTGCTACTGTACTACATGCACATGTATTTACTAGTAATTTGTACAATGGTAATATCCTTTTAAGGTGTCAAGCCTTTTTTGCCATATCTATGTTATGGCTGAAACAGATGCACACTTGCATGAACAGGATATTTGCTTAACTAAAATTAATAGTAGCATATCAGGATAAATGCCTATTGTTTCAGTGTTTACGTAGTTTGTCCATTTGTCATCATAGTTAAGTGTTTATTGTTATCATAACCAAAAATGAATTACTAAGGCAAGGTTTTTTTTGCAAAAATCAAATTTTCTTTCAGTAGATAGTGCCACTACTGGTTGCTGCTTGCTGTACCAACTTACTGCACCATTAGACAGTGTGAATATAATGCCAGATGTAGAGTGACGATCATCATAATCACCAGCCCAACCAGCATCAGAATAACCAATGAGTTTACCATCATCTGACTTCTCATATTTTAGAGCTGGGAAAGGATTCTATTAGCAGGGGTGAGGTGTGTTTCTGTAGGGCACGAACAACTCCCACTGCTTGAGATATGTCAGGCCATGTTGCTGTAGCAAGATATACATGTAGTAGGCTTCAGCTATTATTGATTCGTAGAGTGCTGGGTCAGCTAGCTTCTTGGACTCATCATCCTTTTTCATCATGACAGAGAGGTTAGCTGGTGTTGTTGATAGACTCTTATACTGTGTTTACACTGGCTTCTTT